TTCTGGATTAAATTAGACATAAACCGGCTATGTTGTTTGCGTAGTTAATTTATAAGTCAATTATCAAAATATTATAGTTGATTAAAATATTAAACTGTATATTAGACATCGAAAACAATAAATCGACTATAAAAGAAACATAGTTGATTTGTTGTTAGACTATCTAGATCTTGTAGATGATTATGTGTAAAGTGTATATTTTTACACTTTATCGTACCTTTTTATTTGAGCTTTTGGTGTGATTTAACGATAATTGGAGAATTGGAAAAGTATGGGGTCAAAACTGCAGTTTTGGAGAAAATATGGGTCAAAATTGAAATAATAAAAAATCTGAAGAAATTAGCACGGGACGGCCGTCCCAGATTTACACCTAAAACTGGGACGGCCGTGCCAACTGCAGAAGTGGGGCAGAAGGTTTCGGCGATTCTCGCGCGGCCGTGCGGGAATTACACTGATTTTCGCGCGGCCGCGCCAAAACACGCTGGAGACAGTTTTGGACATTTAATCACACAAGGAAACCTAAAATCATCTACCAAGTTGGGGCATCTATTTAAGGGCAAACCAAACACGAATTAGAGGACTTTTGACAGAACCTTGGAGCAAGAGGAGCAAGAGAACGAAGAAACGAAGACGAAGACCTGACGAATCTTCATCATAATTCTTCTTTCACTTATATTTTCTTAATCTATGACTTTTATTACTTTTATTATGTTTTTCGTTATGAGTAGCTAAGTTTTTAATCTAGGATTTTGTTGGAACACTATGTGGGGATGGTGAACCCGTTTTCTTGAGATTATGCAATTATGATTTTATGATTATTTCTTCTACTTGTTATGATTGTTAGTGCATGAACTTGATCAATTTATGTGTTCTATCTGTGATTATTGGGATTGACTTGACAGAGCTATTTTGATAATTAGACGGTAAGTAGAAGAGCCTTCGAGTAGTTTTCACCGGATGAGTGTGTCAATTGCATGTGGTGTCGTAGACATACATATATCACCTTAGGTAGCCATTTACGAGACTTGTTAGTTAATGCTTTATTTATAATTGGTTTTCATAGACATATAGTGAATCGTTTATGAATAATAGACTATAATACACGCGACAGCGGGTTATGAGTAAATTAGTGTCTCGGGTTAATAATCATGAATCATATATTTCATAATTGAGGGGTTTTGGGTGAGCAATTCTTGCATAGGGGGAAGATAAAATTCTAGATCCGTTTTATATTGATATTTTCTCGTGATTCTTTGCTTTCTTAATTAGTTTAATTGTTTAATTGATTTACTTCGACAAACTTGCGTAGGCTGGATAAAAATCATAGTTGTTAGAATTTGGTACTTAGGATTGGATAATATGAGTATTCCATGTGGGATCGACATCTGACTCTCACGAGTCCACTTTTACTACTTGTTTGCGATACGTGCACTTGCGTGTTAGGTATTTAGCACCCAACATTATGCGTGCTGTCACATAACAATACTAAAATCGATCGAAGGAAAATTGTGGTGATTTCGAAGAAGACGACTTCAGTGGAGGCGTGTCGGCGGAGTAGCCATATTTGAACGATTTTATATTTGGGAAGGTAGGTGGATAATCGTGGGAATCTAGGGTGAAAGAAAGTGTAGTATTATTACTACTCAAACAATATGACTTTTGTTTGATGAGGAAAATGAGATTGAGCATTTCCCTATTATTGTAATGTTTGGGAACTATATCTAAGAGTCCAAAAAAATTCCTACAATTTCGCGTTTACATTTATCTTAGGGGAGTTAGATGTTACATTGGGTGGATTTGAACCGTAAATTTGACTAGATAACTACCTACTAAATATACATAGACATAAGTGTGAGTGTGTGATTATTTATAAATTTACGGTTCAAATCCATCCAGTATAAATAACCAGGTGCATCATTTAATTACCCTTAATCATACTTTTAAGAGGTTATCCTTAACTAAAAAAACTTGTTCTTATCCTTAATAAAAATTAGATTTCATGGTATCTCAAAATTGCCCTTAATTAAATATGGCAATTCTTTTTATTTGCTTCTCCAAATTTCATTTAATGGTGAAATGAAGAAATATAAAAGCTATTGGGACACGTTTGAAATGGTCACCACCACTTAGTCCAAATTTTCACATTGAAAAGTTTAATTAATTGCTCTTTTCTATTAATCTACCGAGGGCATAAAAGAATTCATGGCAGTATTTATCTCTACTAAACAAAAACACCAAATTAAAAATAATAATAATAATAATAATTATTATTATATATATATAAAGAATGTTTTGCTAGTTGCTACTTGTAATTCGAAATCTTTTATCAAGAATCTAGTTAACTTGTAATCTTGAAAATATGAAGAGCTCGAATAATCTAATCTTGAGCATTGTTTTCTTGACGGTGCTTCTCTTCATCAATGGTTTGCTCTTTACCTTATTTGAAAAGTGACAATTTATAGTTTACATACATCCACAATTTATTTTTTATTTTTTATATATATATATTTTAATTATTTCATTAAAAATGACTAATTGCACCCCAACTTATTGTGTATTTACATATCTGACCACAATTGTTGGTGGCTTCATTGTGCAGCACTCTCTCTTTTACAAATTTAGTTTCCCTATGTGCTAGTGATTTTTTTTTTTTTTCTTTTTTATTATTTTCTAAATTATTACTGCTTTAAAATCATGAACTAACAAATTTCTATATTATATTTTGTCACTATTATTAAAATCCGTTATTCATTTACTTGAACATTTCTTTGTTAATTTATATTTTATAAATTTTTGATGTTCCGAAAAGTTGAAATTATATATAGGATCAACTATTCTAATGTCTACGAGTTAATTCACGAGCGCGACAATAAAATTATACAATTAACAGTTATAATAATTCAATGATTTTTTTTTTAATATTTATATTTTAATGTGTGTAAACTGTAAATGCAGAAATTGGATCAGCTAATAGTTTGGAGGAAAATGAAGAGAAATTTAAAATGCCAATAATGCAGAGCAGAACTTATAGAGGTATATGTGAGGATAACAGATGTAGCTCTGCTTGCGTGGCGGAGCGGTTTCAACACGGATTTTGCTATAGGAAAGGCAGAAAACCTGTTTGTATGTGCTCTAATTTCAATAGCAAATGATGGTGATAACATATATATAATGGCAATAATTAATACAATAAAGATATAATTTTAAAAAAATTGTGTGCATTTTCATATATTTTCAAGGCTAAATTACAGCAACCCTCTGATGTATGGTTAAATTACAAAAAAAAAAAAACCTTACGTTTGGATAATTATAACCACACCTTAATTATGAATCCTCTTATATGTCCACTTTTACGGTGTCAAATTTAGTGGAATCTTCTAGATTAAATGAAAATATTCTCCTATTTGTACCCATTTTACCCCACTCGAGCTCCACATTTTGAAACAAGACGATATACCATAAAATATGTCTATTGGCTCGTAAATATCAGATTGTGGTGCATTGGAAACTGTATTTTTGCACAAAACGAATACAAATTAGAGAAAATTCAACGGTATCTAGAAGATTATGTTAAATTTGACACTATAAAGATGGACGCGCATGTGTATTACATTTGAAGCATCGCTTATGATTTTTGTTCAATGCATGACCTTTAATTATTTGATCGGATTTTAATATCATGTCGAATGACCACCTCATCTAAAAGTTTAAACTATTTGCTGAGGTGAATGATTTAATATTTATATTTACAACGGGGTTGTCAATGATTCATTTCAGTAGTAAAATATAGAACAATGATGGGCTAATATTAAACACATGGTTCATGTGTGCTTTAAATTCTATGTATTTAAAATTTATATAATTTCTATTCATAATATAAAATTAGAAAAAATAAATTCTTCTAATAGATGCATGTAAAATATTTTAAATTAAATATATAATGCGAAGTGGGTGCACTCGGGTCCACAAAACCATATGGTAGATTCTCTCCCGGATCCACAAAATCGTGCTCGTAACGACTGGGGCACTTTGTTTCACCATGCTCCAATACCCCGCAAAGAAAGCACAAGTTGGGTAGTCGTTCGTATTTGCTCGCCACCAATTTTGCCCAATGAAATTCTTCACAACCCGGAGAAACGAGGAGGGGGCAAATCTAAAGGGTCTACTCACTTTGGAAATTCTGGGCATAATAGACCCTTTAGGTTTGAGCCGATGTTGACGCGTAAAGAAGAGTGCGAGGATATAATCAGACAACAATGGTGTGGTACCGCGGGGACCAAAATTGATATTTACAAAACAATGGGGGACCAAAATTTATATTTACAATTACTGATTTATTTTTTGAAACTACCTTAAGTCAATTTGTGTAATGTTTAGAAAATATTTATAAACTGGGCACCCGTGACTTTCTTCTAATTGTTAGAAAAAGCTTTTGATGTTTAATTTATCGACAAAAATCATCCAAAAACTACAAAAATAAATAAATTAATAGATTATAGATGCATCACACGGGCTAAAATTCTAGTTATCACTACAGAAACTGTTTTATGTGACGCAAGAACTCGTCGCAAAAACTCAATATATTGTCGCAAAAAAAATAAGGTGACGATATATTTCGTCACAGGGGTCGTCGCGTAGGCCCCGTCGCGAAAGGTGTTATGTGACAAACTAAAGTTTTCGTCACCAAATATTGTGACAAAAGCAAAATTCGTCACATAAAGTTTTATTGTTGTGACGAAGTGTTCGTCGCATAAACAATATATGTTCGTCGCTAAAACGGTTGTCGTCACAAGAAGTAATCTTTTCACTTACTTCTTGTGACAAATTATTTTGTCACAGAAGACACGATATCTATTGAGACAATTATTTCGTCACAAAAAGTTATTTTTCAAAATTTTATTATAAATATATAATTTGTTATATATTTATTTATATTATTCATACTATTACCATTTAAATTAAAGAAACTAATAATACAATTTCAAAAAACTAAACAACGATTTCGGAAATAAAATTGTATTGCAATATATCGTACCATTTCACATACATATTAAATTGAAACTTGCATTAAAAAATAAACTACATAATATAAAAATACACTATCCTTCCTTCAGTGGAGCGAATTCCTCCTCACAACCTTCTTTGTACTTTCAGGCTTCAACTGTACATTTAACAAGGATCTCAAGTGCCTTGAGATAGCCTCTTTTCCACTGTAACTGACCATCATTTTTCCCAGATCAATCCACAAACCTGTATCACAAAAATAATAATAATAAATTAAATCCCATTTTTTTATTCAACAACCCTTCCATCATCAAAGCTGAATCTTCTAGCATCGAAACATAATTATAATTCTCAATTGGAGAGAATGAAAGCCGCAACCTAAATTAGACGACTCACGTATGAAACTCATCGGGTCAAAATTGAAGACTGCAAAACATGAAAAATTGGAAACTACCAATTTCCAGAGCATATACAATACATCTTCTACAAAATCCGACAAACATAATCTAAAATCTGAAAAAAAAAATTGATCAGTTTGATTTAAAACAATCAAGCTGCAGTAATAATACCTGAAGACAAAGGTGCACAAAAACTTTTCTTCACAAGCAATATGAACTTAAAATGAATCAAGCTGCAGTAATAAGGATACACTCTACACAACCAAAGTTACTCGTATAGCAACTTTATCATATTGACAAATAATTAGTATATTGTATAATGAATATCAAAAGTACTAAGAAATCTAAAATCCATGCAAACCGGACAACGAAGAGATACCTTGACAAAGAAAATGCTTGGTGCTACTCAGCCGATTCCGCTAAAGGTTCCTTCCTTGCTTGTTATTCTGCAAAGGAAAAATCAATAATTAGAAAACTATACTTACACACTAACTTTAAGCATAATAAATTAAATCTTAAAAATGCTACCACAAAAAAAAACTTTTAATTTCAAGAGTCGGTTCGCTGGTTACAATTAGCGTCCAGCCAAAACAAAACCACCATATCGAGTAGTTACAGTTCGTTTCATTACAAAGAAACTTGATCATCATTACAATGAGGTGAAATCAAGGAAACAAACAACTAAGGCAACAAGATAATTAACATGTCTCTAGAAAGGTAAGCAGCCAGAAACCGAGATAAATCTTTCCAGTATACGGTACCACATCAAAGCCTAGAGGTACATGCATCTCATAATTCTATTTTATCACCTGCATCATTAACCAAATCTTCATATGAGTAAATAAAAGAAGGACGAGTCAGAATAGTCTTCATATGACCAAATCTCGAATGATCTGCTTGAGTACAACTCTGTGTGCAACAAAGCAGCAGAAAATTGCCGAATGAAGTGAAAGAAGTAAACAATGTTTTTAATCAGTTACTTGTTCAAGAACCGGAAGAATGCCCAAGGCTATGAACCAAGGTGCATGCCTCTGACAACACCACCATAAGTGATCTTGATTTTGTAGCAGATGAGCAATCATATAGTGTTGTTCTTCCCTGCAAAAAAGAACCAGAGATGACATTAATTAAAACTATTATCTACTTACTTCAAATGAATTTGGGTCCTACACCACATGAATCCACTTAAATTGACATTCATAAATCCATTGAAGACTTGCCGTATATTTCTAATTGGTCAACTGTTGCTCTTTGTTATCATGTAGAAAACAAATTCTGAAGACTATATAATGGACTGCTATAACTTCCCTGGAAGGATAATGAAGCTTTTTATCCCTGTATAGTGCAAAACTGGGGGAATTTGTTTCCCCACAGCTAAAATACAAGCTCCTGAATAGTGCAAAAGAAAATAGCTGCTGGATGTTAAGATACTAAGAAAAAAAAATCGACTTGCTATGAAGCTTCATATGCCTAAACAAGTAGTCGACTAATTATTCAACAACAGCTTAGAGACGGTCGGTAAAGTTAATGCCGATTTTAACGGACACTGGCGAAGCAAAATCAGCATGGGGAACACCAAATTATTTTCGCTGTAGAGAATTAATTAATAGTAAACAAGAGCAGGGGGATTCCATCTACGTACTTCAATTTTTCAATGTTTTACTCTTCATCTCTTCATTTAGGGATTCATTATTGCACTTCCATTGAAGCATCATACTAGAAAACTCTATAATTCTGATTCAGAAAACCCTAATTTAAATTTAAACATCGAAGAAATTTTGAAAATTAAATTAGATATCCTTAATTTAATTTTGAGAAAAAAATCCAGTTCACGAACTTTTAGCCAAAACCTTAACATTAGATTTCAGATTAAGAGAGAAGAAAAATGATAGAGGGGTAGAGGTAGATGCTCAAAAAATCCAACTTACGCACTTCTACCCAAAATCTTAACATTCCATTGCACATTGGGAGAGAAAACAATGACAAAGGAGCAGAGGTAGAGATTTGTAGAGATTGAGAAAATAAAATTACCTTAATTTAATCGATTGAGAGACTAGCGGAGGCGACAAGCGGAAGGCTGGCGGTGGTGACGGAGGCAACAAGCGGAAGGCTGGCGGTGGTGGCAGAGGCGACAAGCGGAAGGATGAATGTGGTGGCGAAGGCAACAAGCGGAAGGCCGGCGGTGGTGGCGGAGGCGACAAGCGGAAGGATGACGGTGGTGGCGAAGGCAACAAGCGGAAGGTTGGCGGTGGTGGCGAAGGCGACGGGCGGAAGGCCGGCGGTGGTTGTTGACCACCTGACCCAAGAGCTGAAACGAGAGAGAGAGTGGAAGGAAAATGGTGAGAGAGGAAAATAATAAAATTTTAATTGATATTCAATTATAAGGATCCTTCGGTTATTAATTGTAAAAGATTTATGATAAAATTTATATTTAATTATAAATTATTTAGTTGTGACAAAATCAATTTTGTCACAATAAAAAATGAATGTGACGAAGTTACTTTGTCAAAAAACAATTAAATGTTGTCACTAAAAAGGGTGCACCGATCGTTGGAATGAGCTAGCCATTTCTTTTCATGACAAATTTATAATATTGTCATATAAAACGAACTTTATGTGACGAAAACAATTTTGTCTCATAAAATATTACTTTATGAGACGACATCTGATATCGTCATATAAACTTGTTATTTATGTGACGGATTTAACTTTCGTCACAACAAATTGTCACATAAAATACATTTTTTTGTAGTGTATATACTGTAATGAGGGGGCCAAAATATATATTGGGTTTTTGTGCATAAGTCCTTAACCAACTATCTTTATTATTTTAAGTTTAAGGGATATATCTCTTTCGTCAATAAGCATATCCCTTCAATATGTATTATAAATAAATGAAAAAATTAATGTATATGACAAAATTACCACCAACCTTGTACACCTAATTCTTAATTGTAACCTCAATTTAATCAATTTTGACCACAAAAATCCAATTTTGACTTTTTTTTTCAAACTTTTCTTTTCCTGAAATTATTTTTTTTGCTGCCGGTCTCCGGCATTGACTTTTCGATTGTTTTTTTTTCTGCCGCCGGTTTCCGGCGTTGACCGCTGGTCTCTGGCGTTGACTTTTTTTTAGTGATTTTTTTCTTCTAAATTTTTTATCCGTTTTTTTACGTCCGCCGCTAAACGTTGACCCTAATTGTATAGTCATTAACAGTAATTATATTGTCACTGGCAGTACAATAACGTAATTATACTGTCGTTGACAGTATATTAAAGTAATTGTACTGTCGTTGACATTACATTTATATGTAATTGTACTGCAACGACAATACAATTAAAGTCAACGATAATATTTTTACCTTTTTGGGTTTTTCTTTTATTTTGTTTGATTAGTTGACAAGTCAACGTAATTATATTACTGTCGCTGACAGTAAAATAACTGTAAACACAATAATATTACTGTCAACCACATCAATATTAATATTTTTCGGGTTTTTTATTTTTGTTTGAGTTGTTGACGGAGTGTAAGAATATTATTGTCTACTATTGTAATATTATTGTAAACACAATAATATTACTATGTTGACGGTAATATTACTGTTGCTACAGTAATATTACTGTCAACCACATCAATATTAATTATTTTGGCTTTTTATTATGTTTACCTTTGTTGAACGGTCAAAATATTAATATTACTCTATTACAAAATAATAATGACTTGTTGTTGTGTTAATATTATTGTGTTAGAGATTAATATAGCAATAATACTGTGTTAAGATATAGTATAGTTAATATTACTGTGTTTAACAGTAATATAGTTAATATTACTATCAACCATAAAAAATATTGTTGTTTAAACGGGGGCAAAAAGATGTTAAAGACAAAAAAATCGAAAAGAGTCAACGCTGGAGACCGGCGGACAAATTAGGATGAAAAAAAAAAATTAACGCCGGAGACCGACGGTCAACGGCGGCGATGGACGAAATTGTCCATAAAATTATGTTTTGGGTCAAAATTGAATAATTTGTGAAATTTGGGGTCAAATTGAGGTTAGATTAAATTAAACGATAAAATTTGAGCATATTAAAATACGATGGGCTATTTTAGTCTTTTACAAACATCTGGACCATACGTGGACTTTTTTGTAAAGAAATTTTTCTCTAATCCTCTTTATGAATAAATACCCATTAATGGACTTATTTATAAAGTGTCCATATATATTTACAAAATATTACAATGTTTTTTGTAATTGCCTAAAAATAATTAGTGTAATGTTTAGAAAATTTTATAAACACGGCACCCCTGTGTTTCCTCTTATTGTTAAAAAAACTTCCCGTTTAATTTATTATTTTTAGCAAACAACTCCCTTAAAACTTGTCACTTAAAGGGAAATTAGATGTTATACCTGATTATTTATACCGTAAATTTACACATAGTCACACACAAATTCATGTGTATGTGATTAGTAGATGGTCATTTAATTAAATATACGATTCAAATTTACCCAACGTAAATAACCGTGCGTAACATTTAACTCCACATGTTTACATGGGTGTGTGCTAAAAACAAAAACATTATTATGCCAATAAAATAACAGGAGGAAATCTTTTTAACAATTTGATAGCACACATTGAAATAGACTCTAATATGAAATATATGTAGGCAAACACAAGACAATTGTTTCTTTTACACACGTGCGAAGGATTAATTGCTTTTAAACCTGATAGAAAATAACTATTAAATTTATCTGACATGTATATGTCCAGGGGAATGGATTGAATTTCCCATAGTAATAGATATATCAATTGATTTTTTATTTGTTTTTGAATGCAAATTATGGAAAGAACATAAAAAATTTACAATTTTTTTTAAACTTTTTTTTTTTCAGTAACGAGTCGGAGTTCTGATTAGTTGACCATCCATTAGTTGAGTTCGAATTAGCTGACATCCAACTTTTTTTCTTCTTCTTTTAACTCTTGCTTTTGGCGGCGGGTATTTAGAGCTCTGATTAGCAGACTAAGTATTTGCTGGCCCCCGATTGTTATAGTATTGAAGTCAGTTAATTATAGCTCCGATGATCCGTCATCGAAGCAAAAAAAAAATCGAATGTTAACTAATGTTGAAGTTAACGAATGCACAAGATAAGTAACCGGAGATCCGACGACCCACAGCCTGAGAAAAGAAAAGGAAAAAAAAAAAAGGATGCCAACTAATGAGGAAGTTAACGAATGTTAAGTCAGCTAATCGGAGCTCCAACGACCCACCACTGAAAAAGAAGTTGAAAGAAAGAAAATAAAATGTCATATAATGTTAAAGTTAATTAATGTTGAGTCAGCTAATCGGAACTACGACGATCCAAGCCAAAGCCAAACACACACACACATACACACACACACACACATATATATATATATATATATATATATATATATATATATATATATATATATATATATATATATATTATATACACACACACATTAAGAAAAAATAAAAAGGGGGTTCAGTCGAGTCAGATCTGACCGAACTTGATGGGTGGGGTGAGATGGGATGGGGTGGATTGGTTTATCTCAAATATAAATGTGATTATTTGACAAAACCCCTCATATGACATTTACTATTAGAGGGGATTTTTTTTTCCTCCAATTTTAAGATAAATCCATAATCTAATATTAAATTTCATAATACAATTATACCCTTAATCAAACTAATACCCACATTGATTATACTCTCTCTCTCTCTCTCTATATATATATATATATATATATATATATATATATATTTCTCTCTCTCCAATCACCATCTCTAGTTCTGTTTTTCTTCTCTCGGCGACGAAAAGAAGGACCACATCCCTCTTCTCCTTTTCTATACCTCGCCAACGTCCATCATAGCCCACCACCACCCCTGATAATCCTCATCTCACTTGCATATCTCGTCGCCACCGAGATTCATGGAAATCCAATCAGACGATCCCCCACCATCCCCTTTGACGAGTACGTTTCACCACCTCGAAGAAGACTTTGAGGCATAAACTATTAAGATTTTGAGACATAAACTAAATAAAATGATAGTTGTGAAGATTGAATTATGGGTATTTATAAGTGAAAGTAATAATTTAGAATTTTTTCAAAATTTCAAAATTCAAAAAATATCAAAATTCAATCTTTCTTTTAAATTAAATCGTATTTTTTTATATTTTTAAAAATTAAATATGTATGCATTTGTTATTAGTGGAGATTTTTGATATTAATAATAGTCAACATGACCATTAACAATTTATAAAACATTAGTTATACAATTATTATAATCATTTTACAATGTTATTTATATTTATAGTTAGGATTATTAGACCAAGGAATATATATAACATAAACAAAAGGTGTAAAATGATAACAATAAATAATGTTAAATAGATTATTAATTATCATATTCATTATTACTAAATAATTTTGATTAAATTATTAATAAATATAATATAATAAAAAAATAAAAGAAATTGAAAGGACTTGAGCTTAATTCATTTAAATCTTACGATGCGATTCTAATATTTGAATAATGTAAATGTAAAAAAAATATTAAATGATATGACCTATGATTTAATTATTACGATTGTTACAAATTAAACCAATTATTAAAATAGAAATCACATCATAATATTTTGATTATACTCGTCATATATAGTTTTATTTTTAAAGTAGAAAATTAATTAGAATGAGATATAATCTATTTTTGTTAAAATAAACATCATCTATATTTTTAAATAATTATCTTATGATAAAATAATCAATAATTTTAATAAGTTCTTGTCAACAATTGAGGTTAATCAATCTAAATTAATTGAAATGAGTTATAATCTATTTTTTTTAATAAACATCTTATTTTATTTTTCATTCGAATTTTTCACAATATCAATTTTAATAACATAAGTGAGTTTGTATTAAGTTAACGCGTTTGTTTATATATTGAATTAATTCAATACTTTATATTTTTCAATAGTGAAGATTATATTGATATAGTAATTAATAATAGATGTTTTGAAGTATTGAACCGTGATTCTATATATATTTTAAAAAGTTTCTTACATTGCATTTGTTAATAATTTAATTAAAAGTATTCAATAATAATTAATATGAAAATTAATAATTTATTTAACATATTTATCATTTTACACTAGAATTGTATATTATCTATATTTATTGTCTACATTTAAACAAATAAGTTCGTTGCCTCAGTGGCTAGAGTTGCCTAATTCTACCCTATTCACCCGAGATCGAATCCTAGAATGTCCGAATTTTGGACAAAAAGCCCCAAAACCCGGGTTGACCCGACGGGTCCTCGGGTCCGGGTCTTCCCGCCCCACCCGCCAGGTCGACCCGTCGGGTCTTGGTTCCAATATATCTGGACCCGAAACTGACCCGTG